CTATATCGTTCTGCCAATCAATATCCATGACCCTCTGTTTTATCAACTCTCTAGCTTTGTCATAGGCAACGGAACACAGGTATTGTTTTGTGAGGCCAAAACAGGAGTGCTTTTCCTCTATAGCCTTAAGCCAGGGGGGTACAGGATAAGAACAACTATTGTTTTTTAAGGGCCCAAAGTACTGTGCTTCCTCTAAATAGGTGTTCAAAACACACAACAGTCAATTAATGCAGGCCTTACGCTAAGTCAGGTAACAAACAGAATTAATCTCTATATACAGAATGGGTCTTTCCCAAGCGATCACCCCCGCAGAGTTTACATTCTGGTCAGGGGACAGAATGAGCATTATAGACTATATCAGTGATGGCGAACCTTTGAGAGACCGAGTGCCCAAACTGCGACCCAAAACCCACTTATTCATCGCAAAGTGCCAACACGGCAATTTAACCTGAATACTGAGGTTTTACTTTAGAAAAAACGACTCATACGTTAACTTAAGATGATCCAAACAAAGTAAGGAAAGCAATCTCAAATGCTTACATTGACTTAAAATTATTTGGCAGAGAATTCGACACTTTAATGATGGTCTGGGCCTGGCTGGGGCGATGGCACACGTGCCCACAGAGAGGGCTCTGAGTGCCACCTCTGGCACCTGTGCCATAGGTTCGCCACCACTGGACTATATCATGGTCTTGAAAGAGATAGTCCAATATATAGAATGTTTTGAGGTTGCTCCATTTTGTGAAAGTGATCACCTGCCTCTTGTATTGAAAAACTGTTAATTGTGGGCAGCAGATTATTTCCGGAATAGATAAATTTCCATGCCCGAACCCTTAAAACATGTTACCATTTTTTATCGCATGCGAATAAACAAAATAAAGGTTTTATAGCCACAACATGTGACTTTAAGAGCAAAGACAAAAACAGCACAGCTCTCCCAACTGGTTGACCCAAAGGGAACAGCTTCACCATTAAATCCAAAGTAACAAACCGAAAGAGACAGAATGTGGCGCTCGCCCGAGAGTGACTGCTAGTACCTGCCCTCCACCCTCTGGGAAAAGAATCGTGTCCTCCAGGATGACGTGGAATCCCTGCAGCGTCTCCTTCTTTCCACCATTTTTGGTTGGTAACTGGGCAGGGCAGCAGGAGACCACCCGGGTTGTGAACTGGGGAGGAAGAAAGCACGTGTGAAGGAAGGGAGCAGGACAACCAACACCCAAGAAGGCCAAGAGCAGAAGGGCCCAGAAGAGGCTGGGTGGGATTCGATCTATGCAAAGCCCGGCAGGTGCTTCCTGGTGAAGAGCTCGCCTGGGAGAGAAGTTAGCTGGAAGTTGAGCTGGAAGGTGGGTTCAAAGGCTCCCCCCTGAGCGGCCTTGAGCCTGTCGTTCTCAGCCTCAGCCACCTCACAGGCACTGTTCCCTCTAAGCCACAGGGTGTCTGTTGTGGGGAGGGGAAGGGAGAGGAGATTGTAAGCCGCTCTGAGACTCCCTTGGGTAGTGAAGGGCGGGGTATAAATCCAATCTCTTCTTCTCTTCTTCTTCTTCTAAGCTGAGTGAGTGTGAGCTAGCTCAGTTTTTTAGCCTCTAGCGCACAGATTTTTGTCTCAGCTCAGGACCTAGGATGGCTCCAGAGCAAACTAATCGATGCAGCAGCCAAATCGCTGGCTCACAACTTTAATGCCAGGAGCTCACGAAGTGCAATTCTTGCTCACAGGACTCCATCGCTTAGAGGGAACATTGCTCACAGGACTGTTGTGAGGGCAAAGAGGGCCGCCAACTCCAGCCCGAGAGATTCCTGGAGACTGAGGGGGTGAAGCCTGGAGAGGGACCTCAGTGGGGTACAGCGATGCCAAGCAGGCTACCCTCCAAAGCAGCCCCTCCTGCCTTCGCGGGAAGGGACTTCCGATGCCCGGAGGGAGGCCAGTGGAAAAGCTGCAAGATCTCCAGACCAGTGTTCCCTCTAAGC